CTGTTTTGTTTGGGTTTGTGTTTGGGCTTTGTTTTGACCTTTTCCTTGTATGTTTGGAAAAGCTGTTTGGTTTTATGTTTGGGATTAGGAGAAAAGTTCTATAAATACTCTTCACCACCCTAATATGTAAAAAAGGTTAGTCAGGTTAGTTTGTTTGGGTTATCCGTTCCGGAATTTAATTTGAACCTGTACTCTCCTCAATTTAGTGAAACTTACCACGTTAAATTTGTGTTCGTTTGTGTTGATCTGGATTGTCATTTGCACGCTTCTGTTCTGACATCTACAATGAAAAATCACCCTTTTGCATCTCTTTGAGGTTCCATAGAGTGGTTTTTGCATGTTTTCTACTAGAAATAAGATGAGGGTTGGAGGTAGTTCTTAAAAGTTGGGCATGTGCTTGCAAGGATAAAACAATGTGTACAAGTTGTGGTTATTTGAAGAAAAGAAAAAAAAAGAAACAAATGAAAACAAAAAGAGAGCCACCACAAAAAATCATAATCTTGCCCGTTAATAGTGTTTTTTAGCAGACGGGCTTGGAAATACTAACATGTTATGACCTCCTTCACTGTTGTGTTCTAAAGAACTTGATTAATGCAGAATAGCAAAGAGAAATAAATGGTTTGAATGAATGTTGTTGTGTCAGTTTTGGAACTATGGAACCTTGTGTGAATTCTTCCACCACCTACAAGATTTTTCCCCCAATGTCCAAGACCCTAGCCAGTCATCTGAACCCGTGTCTAAGACCTCCTAAATAGTTAGTGGTGACACCCGATATGTGAACTCTAGCATTTAGAGGCTGCCATCATGGTGAAGAGACGTTAGGATTGAGAGAATAAGCATGCACATTTTTCGCATCAAATTGTCCTAAGCCCACTGGTCGAGAGTAAGCGATTCATTTCCTTATGTTTTATATCCACGTGAGGACCTTGATTGCTTATTCTTTGATTGTGGTGACTTGAACTCTATGCATGGTTGACTGTGGTATCTGAGTAGACGAGTGTGTCACCCTTTGGTTTTTGAACAATAGATAGACTCTTCTTGTGCATAATCTTGATGCGATCGGTTGTCATTTGCATGGTCATTGTGGTTGGTGTTGCTGTCGTTCGTGTGTTGATATTAGTTATCTATTGAGATCTGTGTGTTTCTGTGCCATATGTCATGTCCCCAAAAGTTTTGTGACTGGAAATTTTGATAAGCTTACCTGGTGTCTGACTTGGTTTGCTTGGGGACAAGCAAACGGTTATGTGTGGGGGAATTTGATAGCATCATATTTGCACATGTTTGCACCCTCGTTTCTTGATAATTTTGACTCGTGTGTGCTTTCTTGGTCTATTTTATGCTAGGTTATGTTCCTTTGTCAGATTTCAGGTCCTAGCACGTAAAGTGAAGCATAGGCGCAAGTTTCAAGTCAATCGATATCAATTGGCGATTCGGGAGAAGAAACTCGGGCATGACCTGCAGAAGAATGTGTTTTACCCTCATTTTATGGAAAAAAAATTCATGTAAATTTGTCATTAAAAGAAATAGGATGAGACTACGAGCATCTGGGATCAAACAATGACTGATTCGGAGTTCAGACGAGGGAGAAACGAAGCATCAAAGACAGTGGAACAAGAGCTGAGGAAGAAACACGGTTGTGTTTTGTCATCCTGTGCCCGTGTTTTTACTGCCGAGAAGAAACATAGGCAGGCCTGAATTACGGGTTGAGAAACACGATCGTGTTTCTGCCCCTAATCGGGTATAAGTTGTTTTCTGCGATTTTTGGAGGGGGAGAGCTGGGTTTTAGTTCCCAAACACCCAAGGGGCAAACTCTAGAGAGAGTGACTTGGGATCATTCTTGGAGATATTTTGGAGGATTTCTTCACCATTGGAGTTCGGGAATTAAGCTTGGAGATGGAGATTAAAGATCTAGATCAGATTTCTACATTCTCTGTCTTCTCTATGGAGTAACTTCCCTTCACTTAGATTTTGAGGAAACCTAGTTGGCATGATTGTTGAGTCAATGAATCCTTATCACTTTCCTTTGACTTCTGCTTTAACCTATGATAGATAGAATCTGATTGGGTAAGAGGCTTCCTTGATTGATAGTAGTGAATTGATTGTACGAGTGTCAATCGATTCACTGCTTTGTTCTGGAATTCGTTCCAAGTAGAGGAGATATGTGTGAATTGCCTTCGCAGTCTATCCCAGTGAAGGCTAGTCGCCTACCGGGTATTCTGTCTTAGAGGGCTTGGTCAGCTTAAGAGATTCCAAGCTATTTTAAGATCTTCCGTAGTTTAGTCAATAGTAAAACAACCATAGGTAATTACAACTAGGACTTAACTTAAGAGCTAGAGGGAATCATACCTGAGTGAGTTCCCAACCTGTAATTAGTAGTTTAACCTTAGTTAGTTAGTAGAGTAGTTTAGTAAATTAATCTTAAATTTGGTTTGCTAGATAATGAACTGAAGCTGAGTAATAGTAACTCTAGATACCCCTGGATTCGATATTTATTACTTGTTCCACTATACTACAGTCACTTTTATTGGTTACACTTGGTCATTGTTAGGAGTTGTGTTTTAGCGAGTCACTCTCTCTAGCCATCACGAAGTGGCACTTCTCAAACCTTGTCTTCACAAATTAGGTTTCAATCCTATTGTACCAAGCTCTAAGAGCTTGTTTAAGCCCACACAGAGCTTTTCCTTCCCACAAAACCTTGAGGTTGCTCAACATAAACCTCCACAAGGAGCTTACCATGGGGGAAATCACTTTCCACATCCATCTGGTATATTGTTAGACCATGTTATATAGCTAGAGCTAGAAGAGTTTTGATGTGTCCATTCTAGCTAAAGGTGCAAAAACCTTAGTATAGTCTATCCCTTTTGTCCGAGCATACCCCTTTGCTACAAGTTTATCCTTGAACTTGTCAATTGAGTCATCTTCTTCCAGTTTGGTTTAGAATACCTATTTGAGTCTAATTGGCTATGCATCTTCAGGAGGTGCGGATAGGGTCCAAGTCTGAATCTTCTCTGTGGAAGTCAATTTTCATTGCATTGCCTCATTCCATTTGGGAACTATGTAGGCTTCCTCAAATATCCGTGGATCATCGGTTACAACAACCATGTCCATCCAATCATCTGTTGTTAAACTGCAATCATATATTGACAAATGAGCTGGTGGATTTCTAACTCTCTTGCGTAGAATAGTACTAGGTAGTCCTAGAACATCTGTTGGATTGTCGAAATCGCGCTCTTCATCATTATTATTGGACCGACATTGGTGAAGTGAGCATGTTGATTTGAGTACCACTCGGGGCATTTATTTTGAAATGCCCTAGCTTGTGGCACTTAAAGCACTGAACAACTTATCTATTCCAACTCATGCCTACTCTTCTCTTCCTAGATAATTTCCTTTCCCTAGACCTTTTCCTCGTCTACCTCCAAAGTTATGTGAGATTCTAAGTGCTTGATCTCCTTCAGCCAAAGACTGTTTACTACATTTACAGACCTTTTTGCTCATGTACTAAGACTGGACTTTGCTGATCATCAACAGTAAGCAAGTCAATATCTTTTGACTCCTCGATAGAGCATACTATATAGTTGAATTGTGCAATGAGAGTTCATAAGATCTTTTCTACTATCTTTCTATTAGTTATTGGTTCTCCATAGTTTCTCATATTGTTGGCTATTACCATAACCCTAGAAAATAGTCAGTAATTTACTCACCCTCCTTCATTTCCAGAAGCTTGAAGTTCCTTATGAGAACTTGCATCTTGGCCTTTATCCTGAAACTTCACACGCATGGAGTCTCAGAGTTCATTAGTAGTAGTCTTTGTTGGTTATGGTATTCAAGATGGGTATATTTTCTCAAATATTTAGATTTCACTTGGACATATGATCCAGTTCACAAATTCATATGATCCAGTTCACAAATTCATATGATCCATTCCATGAAACCATCAGTCCATTTGATCCAAATATATGAATCCACTAATCCATTTGCCACATTTAATTAGAGCAATGCAAGTTGCCGGAGTTAAATGATAATAATACATTGAAAAAGAAGAGAATTTCAAAGTTAAGTAACAAATAGGAAAGTGCCTAATTATTGGTCTATTGAAAATTCCATTTACATCTTAACATAAACCTACCAATTTAAATGTCTAAAAAAGACGTGATGTCATTATGTACTCTGATCTGTTAAAGTTCGTGTTAAAATTGTTTTCCCTCTCGAGCATATGAGTACCAAGAGCAAGAAAGAGCCAATCCCTATCCTTGTTTTGTATATATTACGACAATTTCTTTATTCAAGAATCACAATTGTCAAATAATGACGTGAGACGATAAAACGAACCATACTCCTAATATATTTTCTCATCTCAGTCGACTTAGCTTTTGACCCCTGTAGGCTGTAGCACCTCGTATTTCATTTGCATTCACAATACTCACAAAGTGCGTTCCATGAAGGAGATTAATTAAATTAATTAACTACAATTAAGTTTCTTAGTTTCCAAGTCAATCGGTGACTAAACAAGGGAAATGATTCTTTAACTCAAAAGCAACAAGTTGACGCGTCTCACAAATAAAAAAGTCTTGGAAAGAAGAAATGAAAGGTAGACAAATGAAAGCTGACCACTGTGTCATTGCCAGTCCCCCACATCTTCCTTCTTCTGCTGCGTTATAAATTAAAGCCCACTTTATTATTTCCTTTAAGCACTAAACCGGCCCAGAACAACCAAGAAAAGAATTCATAATTTCACAACCGAACCAAAAACAAAAAGAAAAAAGAAATCACTTCTTTCTTCTCCAATCTCTCCCCCCACTCCCCGCCTCATTTTCCCTCTCTTTCTCTCCCTTTCCCCCTCGCCAAAGCCAAACAGACTCTTCCTCGTTTCATGCGTATACCCCCCTGACTTTGACTCCCTCCGCCACCGCCACCGCCACCGCCATCGCCATCGCCATCGCCGGTTATAGCCCCCGGAGCATAGACCTTTCCCTTTCCCTTTCCCTTCTCGCTCTCTAATGCATACCTCCACCCCCACCACCGTCACTCCGCCGCCGCCGCAGACGCTGCTCGATTTGATCAATGGCGTGCTCTCCCTCCTCCTCGTCTCCTCCCTCTCCGTCCGTTCATTCATCGGCCGGTGGCAGGTTGTCCGGTCCAAGCTGATTTCCCTCCAGTCATCCCTCGCCTCCCTCTCCGATTCCCCTCACTGGTCCCAAAATCCTCTCCTCCATACTCTCTTACCGAATCTCCTCTCCACGCTCCAGCGACTCCACGCGCTCTCCGCCCAATGCAACGACCTCTCCGCCTCCGCCTTCCCCGGCGGCAAGCTGCTCTTCCAGAGCGACCTCGACATCGCTTCCTCCACGCTCTCCAGCCTCCTCCACGACCTCGATTTGCTGCTCAGATCCGGCGTCCTCCACCAGTCCAACGCCATCGTTTTGTCCCAGCCGGGCCCGGGTTCGGAGAAGGAGGAGCTCGTGTTCTTCATCAGAGATCTCTTTACCAGGCTGCAAATCGGCGGGGTGGAGTTCAAGAAGAAGGCGCTCGAATCTCTGCTCGAGATTCTCAGCGACGACGAGAAATCCGCAGCTCTGGTGGCGAATGAGGGCAACATTGGATACCTGATCAGCCTGCTGGATCTACACCACCAGCCGACGATTCGAGACTGCGCCGTTTTGGCCGTGTCGATCCTTGCGTCGTCGGCGAGCGACGAGTCGAGGAAGATTGTGTTCGAGGAAGGTGGATTGGGGCCTCTGTTGAGAGTTGTCGAATCCAGTTCGATGATGTTGAAGGAGAAGGCGGCGGTTGCGGTGGAAGCCATCACCGCCGATGCGGACAACGGCTGGGCTGTTGGCGCCTACGGCGGCGTCGCGGTGCTGATTGAGGCGTGCCGGTCGGGATCTCTGGCTACGCAGGCACATTCCGTCGGCGCCATTCGGAACGTCGCCGCCGTGGACGACATCAAGATGGCTCTGGTTGAGGAAGGCGCCGTTCCTGTTCTGGTCAATTTGTTGGTCTCCGGAACAGCGTCGGCGCAGGAGAAGGCGGCGCACTGTTTATCGATTCTCGCTGGTTCCGGCGAATATTTCCGGTCGCTAATCATCCAGGAAAGGGGATTGCAGAGATTGATGCACTTGATTCAAGATTTGTCGAGCTCGGAAACGGTGGAGCACGTTCTGCGCGCTATTACTTCTCTGGCGGCATCGGAATCGATCTCAAGGATCTTATCATCGTCGACAGCGTTCGTCGTCCGGCTGGGCGAACTAATCCAGCACGGAAACCTAAAGCTGCAACAACTCTCGGCTTCTCTCCTATCTCACATATGCCCCAGCGACGGGAACAAGCGAGCAATCGGGAGCTGTATGAGTTCGTTAGTGAAGCTAATGGAGTCGCCGAAGCCGGCGGGACTCCAGGAATCGGCCTCGGATGCATTGGTCTCTCTATTATCAGTCAAAACGAATCGGAAGGAGCTGGTGAGGGACGAGAAGAGCGTGATGAGATTGGTACAAATGTTGGATCCGAAGTACGAGGCGGTGGCGAAGAAGTTTCCGATGATGGTGGTGACGGCGTTGTTGAGCGGAGGCAGCGGCGGGTGCCGGAAGAGACTCGTCGCTGCCGGAGCGTACCCGCAGTTGCAGCGGCTGACGGAGATGGAAGTCGCCGGAGCCAAGAAGGCGTTGCAGAGACTCGCCGGGAATAGACTCAAGAGTATCTTCTCCAGGACGTGGAGGGAGTAAAGGCCTGAAAAGACACTAACACCCCTAGCCCCCCCTCCCCCGCCATCTGTGAAGGTACATTTTTGACCCTCTCTCCTTGGGTGACGTTTTCCTGCCAATGAGATGGTGCCAAGTGTCCGGTATCTCCAGCGTACATGTAAAATTTTCCCGTGTACCCTAAACTCAGTCTAGATTTGGTTGCATATGATATGCCCCTCTTTTGTAGGACGGAAGTTAGCTTCCCTTTTCCTATTACCATAAGTGGGCCCCAGTACAGCTTCCTTTCCTAGGTGGAGTCACGGGAGAAAGCACAGTAAATGAACTGCTTGCCTTTGTAAATTGTATTGTAATGGTGGACTGTATAATTGGAAGTCCTTTTTAACTAACTAGCTCAAGATTTTTCAAAAGATAAGGGCGTGAATTGTCAAGATAAGGGCCGGAAATTTAGGTTTTATTATTCATTGACGGTCCGGATAGTTGACAAATACAGGTTGTAATTAAAGGGCCGGAAATTTAGGTAGCAAGTCCATTTAATTAGGATATGGATTCTTTCTCACTGACTGGTCGACATGTGAGTTCCGCTGTTTATGCTAGTAATTGAGAATTGAGTGAGTCTTCATGGCATTATGCTCACATCACATGTCGTTGTACATCGATTCACGCGAATTTTAATGGTAACTGCGGGTGGTGCCTGGGCCTAATCAGCAATGGTTTGCCGGACTGGTTTCTGAACTGTATTTTGGTTGGTGTGTTGTTGATGTACAGGGTTGGCAGTTGGGGTTAACTGTTGAAAAGGGAATGAGATGAAGAATGAATTCTTCCAAATTCTGTTTTTGGAGGGCAAAAAGCTAAAGCTAAAGCAAAAGCAAAGCAACCGGGACAGTTGGGCAGTGCACAAACTTCGTATGCCCCAACCCTTCATTGTTTTCTTTTTGGCTTCACCTTTTGTATGAATTAGCAAATTATAATAGAGTATTGATTTTATCATTAATAAATTAATATAGAGTACCATAATGCCACCACACCACACCACCCACCACCACAGCCCATGATTCAGGGAGAAATCAGAGGGATGTGCTAATTGACAGTGGAGGGGGTTTATTTAAAGTGGGGGAGGAAAAGAAGGACACACTAAAAAAGCACGGATGCAGTTTTTTAGGGAGTATCCTTGTTTTTGTTTTTGTTTTTGTTTTTTGGTTGCTCTGTAACTGGTAATCCTCACTCAGGGAAGCTGTTATAAGAGAAAAGGAGAAGAGATGTGTATTAATGTGTTTGTCAGGTAATGTATGTATGTATAATCCAGCCAGGGAGAAAGAAAAAAGAAGCCTTTGTTCTGTTTTGTTATATAGCCAGCATGAGCATACTGTACTCTGGGAAGAAAGGTTTATATTTGGATTTTCTGCAGTTGGATGCTAATGAGCAGCTCTATATACTAAGAAGATTGTATTGTTAATAATAATGTGCATGCTATTATGATGTGGAATTCTGTTGCTACCCACTCCATCCAACTTCTCATTAGTAAATCCCTTTTCCAACAGGGCAGCCTTTTTTATGAGGTAAAGGCAAATCTACTAATCGTTCTGCCTCCCTTTTTGGTCTAATGTCTAGTGTCTACGTCCAAGTAGGTTAGGGAATGGGACATCAATGGTGATGATGATTCGTGAAGAGACTATCGGTCCTTATTAGTTAGGCAGAGTGTGAATGAGTTGGCTCTTTCACTAGATTTTGGCTATGGCCTGTTTGATGTGTGAGGGTGGGGTCTTTGAATTGCCTTTTCCACTTGCGTTTTCATCATCAAGTATTCTTCCTCGAGTTTGACTCTTGGTTTGGACGATCAAATGATTGAAAATAGGCAAATTTGGAGGAAAAAATCTCAAAGTATACGTGTTCTTAAAAAAAATTTCTCAAAATACACATGTTTTATGAAATATTCCGAATTTACACATGTTTCGACTTCACCGTGGCATGGCCATTCACCGTTGGCGTCCCATGCGGTGATGGCCTGATTAGTTAATTAGCTGGTTACTTAATTGGAGGCGAAATAATGAGAGGCGAAAGCTTGAGAAAAGCCGGTGGGGAATCAATAGTGTATGCGGCGATCAGATACATGAAATTCAACCTCGGTTGGGTTGGGGGGAAAATCCCTGGGTTAGTATCCCTGGAGAAAAATCCCTGGCCGATTTCAAGTTGTCGCCGTCGCCAACGAGACACTCCGCGATGCGAGTGTTGCGGAGGCGTTGAGACGCTGCCAGACTTCTTCTTCTCCACCATCACCCCCGCGTCCTACTGCTGCTGATTTGGGAAAGGAATGCGAGCCCTAGATGGATGGATGGAAGGTAAGGTTGGAGGGTCATATTGGTATTTCTTTCTGTATCTCTCTTCTCTGACCAACCCTTTAGGTTGACGGGAGGAGGATTAATGGCACAAAGCAAACAAGTTTTTGGCTGTTACCACCAATCATGGGTCTGCGTATTTATTGTGCATTTTATCAAGTAATCAGACCATCACCGCTTGGCACATCAGCGGTGAATAGCCATGAAGTTTTCACTGCTTTCGGCGATTGCGGTGAAGCGTTCACTGTGTCTGACGCCCGCGGTGATACTGTTCACTGCGTCTGACTGCCGCAGTAAAGTTCAAACATATGTAGATTAGGAATATTTCATAAAATGTGTGTATTTTAAGAATATTTTTTTAATAACATGTGGACTTTGGGATTTTCCCCAAATTTAGATGTATCATTTTATAATACTTGTTCTTCTCTGATCCATCCAAATTTATGTAGAATGAGGTAGTTGGGCCAAATTGCCTCACCCAAACGAAGAGGTTGTTAACATGATGACCTTATTTATACTGTTACATTGCACATTCCTGTGATTTCACTCAATGTGATGAAATGTTGATAAGTAATTTATAATTGTACGTATATGTAACAATCGATAATGAACAGATAGACGATCCAAATGGTACATTCAATTCACATTCAATAAACGGATTGGCTCTCTTGTAAGTCTTTATTGGATGGATCTCTCCTTGAATCTTGACAGAGGAGATTTGGCTTGTGAACTTCTGATCATGAGAATGTGGGAAGGTTTGGGAGATCAACCCAAAAGGAGGAGATTATTATTATTATTATAGCACAGATGTAGGGATTGGAAATGCAACAGAAGATTGGGGACAAGAATTAAGGGGGGACCCAATTCCCTAACAATCACAACCCTCACCAGGAAGCACCATGGACCTCACATCACATGGCATGGGAACTATAAGCATGTGTTATTGTGTAACTCTTCCCTGTTAATTTTGTATCTTTCTATTTCTTATAAAATGTGTGGAGCCTAATAATATGGGTGGATTTGTACATTGAACGTCATGTTTAGAGAACATGCAATAAAAAAAAAGTATTTGACATTGTTTTTCTGGGGCAATTACATAGACTAGAAGTTGCAAATTTAAAATTTTATTAATTTAGTTAATGTGTGAGAGTGATATTTAATATATGAGTTAGTTCTCTTATTTGATTATATATCGCAAACTAAAATTTATTGTTAAGAATTTCGTATAAAATTTATAAAATGTTTAAAATCATCACTTTTACGTTTCTACTTTTACCCTTCACTTTTACATAGAATCTAGACTTTGGTTGCATTGAATATTACAACTCTCTAATCTCCTTTGATCCAGACAGACACAAATATCAATAGATCCGACATTGGGATGCATGATTCAACCTACATAAACAAAAACACAAAAACAAAATCAAACAAACACAAACCACCCTTCTAAGAGAAGAGTGGGTAAACAAAACACAACACAAAACACAAATACAAACAAAAAGGCAAGATAGAAAATGCTAGAGTAACACTAAGCGACCTTTTCAAAATAATGGACCGCGGATCTCCGGCAATGGCGCCAAAAACTTGACTCGCACGAAACTATACCACAAATTAATCCCAACTAGAGCCCAAATTTTTAAACTCTAGTCGGGTGCAGTACAGAGCAAGTATTTAAATTGTCAACCCGGGTCGGTCCATGTACCCCTACTTCAATCGCTTAGGTTGTTATCTAGTAAACCACTTTTGGGTTTAGAACTAAGAAAACTACAAACTAAACTAACAAGGAAGAGTAAATAAAGGAAAACCCTAACTAAGGGAGCTTTACCCAGGAGTTGCTTCCCTCTAACTAGCTACCAAGACTCGTTGGATTGAAACGATTGCATTGGGCACGTTAATCGTGAACCGCAGAGGAAAGCGTATGTGGTCGGAGACCACAGTCTCAATTGCTAAACAGAGGTGAGGATGAAAGGCCGTGTCACTCGACCATTTCGGTTTAGACAATCGGTAATCGGCTTACTTCCTCACTGAACTCGAAGGTCGGACAGTTTAACCACGATTAATCGACTTGTTTAATTCAATATTGAGGGTTGCCCTAACTCAACCTAGTTTAGGTGGCTTAGAAAGCGGAAGGAAAACCAACTCGATTGAGTCTCCCTTGACAGGAGGATTTTCCTCTCTAAACTAGGCTAAGGTGGGGAATTAGATTACTAGCACCTAAATGCACAAACTTAGGGGTGCTAAGCACAATTGTGCACAATCCCTAGGATGCCAAGCACAAAACATGCACAACCGTTAAGTTGCTAAGCACAAGCATGCACAATCATCGTAAATAATGCCTCAAACATCGAATTAACCAATACCAATGACAATCATTCAATCTAGACAAATAATTACAAATTATTAGTTAGCGATCTACAACACCCAAAGAGAAAAGAGTGAGTTTCTAGAGAGAGAGAGAGAGAGAGAGAGAGGAATTACAAATTTGAGCTCAAGATCTTCTTCTTCTTCTTGGCTTCAATCTTCCACCCAAGCCTCCAATGATGCTCCAAGATCACTCTAGCACTCTCTCTCTCTCTCTCTCTCTCTCTCTCTCACTAGAACTCCCCTTTGGTGTTTAGGTTGAAACCCTAGAGAAAGAAAGTGTTTTCTTCTCCAAAAACCATCTCTCCTTTCTCTCTCCCCGTTGCT